TGTGGAACATCCGCCGGTTTCTGATATTCTATGGTTGTGGCGACGTTCTGTTGGTAAATGCAGAGGAAATGAACTGTCCCGGCCCCGATCGAATTACTAGTTCGGTGACTGCGTCGTCAGGACCTGGGCACCAGGTTATCTCACGGCTTTTCCTCCACCCAGCCCCTCTCGGCTGGGGCCTCCGTGCATGCCTGCCCTCTCCTGGCGCCGTGACGCCGCCTGCAGCAGGGCTGTCCTCGGCTGGGGGGGGTGGCGTCTGGAGTGGGGGTGCCCTGCTTCCCCTTCTGGGGAAATGGCGACCCAATGCCACCCTGCTGCTGGCTCCCAATCAGCCGGCTGCCACCACCAGGGGCTGGGAGGTGCGGGACGGAGCTCTCGTTGGGACGCAGCCGGGGCGCTCCCCACCACCGAGGGGAAGGCGGTCAGACCACAGACCCAAGGAGTCCAGGAAGGAAAGGAAAGGAAAGGAAAGGAAAGCCAGGTCTCACAAGCTGCAGGGACGCCCCCACAAAGGCAGGAAGACAAAGCCCTGCGTGGAACCCGCAGGCCCTACCTAACGGGACAGCTGACGGCAGTGGGGACGGGTCGCCCCCCCACAAAGCGGGGTCACCGGAGGGAGCCGGGGCGCTCCCAGGTTGGAGAAGAGAAACAAACCCTCCAGGCCTCCCTGTTCGCAGGCTGGACGAGGCCGACACGCAGCACGCCGGGGCTCGAGGGGCCCCATGGGGAGGCAGCGACCGTGGGGGCTGCAGTGCCTGCAGCGTGCTCTTCCCGTGCGGCGGGCAGGGCGGCTGCGGGGTGAGCTGCCCCCCGACCCCCGAGTGGGTGTCACCCCGACCACGTGCTAGGGAAGGGTGCAGTCTCACTGACCCCCCCGCCCCCCCCACACCCAGGCTGGATGGAGTTGGACGGGGTCTCGAAACGACCTGGCTCCCGAGGGTTCCCCAAATTCCGAGTCTGGGGTCCAGAGGGAGGAAACTCGGTGCCCCCGACACCAGAGAGGACGTGGCTGAGCTGTCGGGGGCACCCGAGGGTCCCGCACGCCCCTCAGCTCCTGGGAGGTGTTCGCCTCCGGGAGCTGCAGCCGAAACCCCGGAGGTGGCAGCGTGCCGGCCTTCGGAAAACGTTCCGAGACGCGAGGAGGACACGCCGGCCCCGAGCCCGTCAGCCCTGAGGCTGTGCTGCGAACAGGCGCACAGGCCAGGTCCCAGGCGACCTTCCACGCTGCCCCCCCCCGGCCCCCTGGACAGTGCGCCAGGGTGGCCGGCAGGAAGGCTGAGGGCTTGGGCACAGCCGGGCAGCGGCGTGGGTGGTTTCGGTGTCCGGCGGGGGCGGGCCCAGGGGAAGGCGGTGCGGTTGTCGGTCCCAGCGGGCGACCGGCAGCGGGGGTTGCTCGGAGGGGAGCCCACAGGCTCGGGGGCTGAGTCACGAGGCCCGAGGTGCGACCCCGGCCGAGGGAGGGGGCCGCTCCCACCCCCGGCCCGCGGAGGCCCAGCCCGGGGGTGGGGGGGGGACGGCCCGCGGAGAGGGACGCCGTGCGAGACGCATCCCTGTCCCCACAGGAAACCCGCTGTTCTCATAAACGTGTCCTTTCTGAAACTGTTTTCACATGTGGGGGCCCCTGCCTTCCAGGTCACACCCCCCACCCTGACTGGACCGCAGAGGAGGGCGGTCCCTGCCCCTGGAGAGCCCGGGAGAGAGAGGAGGAGACGGCACGGTCGCCCCCACCGGGGTCACAGGCGCTGCAGGAGCCCCGGCGAAGCCGACAGCCGTCGGTGGCTGGAGAAAAGCCAAAGGCAGCGTTCTGTGTTGTGACATGTGTTGTGACACGTGTCGGTGACGTGAACCGTGAACCTCCGCGTCTGTCCAGGAGCCGCTCCCCAGAGCCCCGGGCCCGCGAGTGGCGGCAGCTCCGGAGCCGCGGGAATGAGGCGGCCGTGGTCGGAGCACCACGGCCTGAGCCCCGCTGGGCGGGGCCCGAGCCCACTGCCTCCAGCCCCGCCTGAGAGAGCCGTGTAAGGCATTACTATAGCGCAGGATTCATTATCCTGAAATGAGAACCATAATGAAAACGATCTACCAGCTCCCGCGCTTTAAAAATCGATACGGAGTCTGGACTGAGCTATAAAGGAGGAACAAAAGCGAAGGGTTTATAATAAAATAACGTGAGCTGGACACTGAAATCTGGGGCAGGAGCCACCCGCAGGACGTCAGGGTGCCTCTGGAAGCTTCTGCGGCCGCCCCTGAGACCGGCGGCACCGGGGGCTGGGCTTCTGAGAAACCTCGACAGACCCGCAGGGAGGCAGCCCTCTCCCCACCCACTGACCGCGGCCACTGCCCGCCACAGACAGCCCACCCAGGGCCCGGGACGAGGCCGCCCACTCGAGGGGATGGGCACAGGCAAGGGTCCACAGAACAGGGCTCAACACCAACCACCCTGCACGTGTCCGGGGGTGGGGGGACCACCCTGCACAGAGGCGCAAACAGCCAGCGCTGGCGAGGACCTGGAGGACAGACCCCTCGGGCACCGCCGGTGGGAGGGCAGACCGGGGCGGCCACGGCGGGACGCGGTGCAGCTTCCTAAGGAAACTAAGAATAGCACCGCTACACGGCCCAGCCACGCCGCTTTGGGGTCTGTGTCTGAAGGAGACGAAAGCACTACGGTGGAAAGACACGCGTGCGCCCCCGTGTCCCCTGCGGCGTTATGGACAGCAGCCACAGGTGTGCGGGAGCCACCTGCGTGCCCGCGGCAGGCGATCAGGTAAAGACGAGCGTGCTCAGGATGGAGCATTCCTCGGCCGTGAACAAGAACGGCGTCTGGCCGTGCGCGGCGGCGTGGGCGGACGTGTTGTGCCGAGTGAAGCAAGTCGGACGAGGGGCGTGAGACGCTGCGCGATCCCACCAGCCTGGGGGCTCTGGAACCAAAGTGGACGAACAAAAGGGAAACCGGCCCACAGACAGGGCCACAAGCCGACGGCCGTCGGAGGGCTGGGTGAGGGGGTCCTGAACCAGCGGGATGAGAGCACCGGGGCTCAGGCACCCTGCCGCGCCCGCCCCGGCCGACGGGCACCCGACCGCCCCCGCGAGGCCCAGCGGCACGGGGCTCCCCCACTCTCACGCTCGCCCAGGCAGCCCACGCCGGCCTTGGCACCATGCGCCCTCACGCCTGAAGCGCCAGCTCCTCTGGGATGCCCCACGCGGGACCCCCCCGGGGCTCTGACTGAGGACACTTGTCACCGCTCGGCGGTACCGGGCTCAGAGGCTCCCCCCGCTGCCACCCCCCGCAGCCGCTGTCGTCCACGGCGCCCTGCTCGGAGTCCTTCCGAGCCCACACGGACTCTCCGAGCTGCTCCTGCTCAGCCAGGCTGTGCTCGTCCGCCAGCCGCCTCCCGCAGGTGGGCGGGGAGCCCGGTCACTCCCTCAGCACGGAGGGCAGAGCCCGCGCGTGGGGGCAGCCCCACAGCCCTGGACCGGCCGCCCTTCTCCAACACCTCGCAGTGGCCACAGCACGAGAACATGTCACCGATGCAGCTGGCAGCGCAGTGGCTGGGCCGCTCCCGACCCCCTCTGTACGAGCACCTTTGGAAGCACCGAGGCACGGCCGCCGCCGCCTCCCGTCATAAATCACCGCCGGAGGACAGCTCATTCCAGCGCACCGGCGGCAGGGGGCGGGGAGGGAACCGCAGTGGCTTTGTGCATAATACATAATTCATTTCCAGACGACTTTTCCTGCTGCGGGAGGACTTCTCAGTTTCGTGTTCTCACCAGCGTGCCTTCTTGCATTTGCATGTGCGGAAGATCTTCCTGCATACCGAGCGCGTCGGCAGCCGACGCTGTTTCCACGGCCGAGTGGCTGGCTGCACGCACGGACCCCAGGGCCCCGCCGTCCGGGCTCCCAGCCCAGCTCCTCGGCTGCGGCGCTGGGGCCACTCCGAGACACGGTGGGGTCTGTGAGAGCAGGGGTTCCCGTGGGGGTGCGGCCCGGGGACTCGGAGACTGGCCTGCCCAGAGCCGGGCTCTTAGACTTCCGCTGAGAGCTCGTGGAGCACAGGCGCTGAAAAGCAGCAAGTGCACACACTGACGGACTCGAGACACATGCCCGGCCCACCCCCCTTAACCGGGGACGGGGCCACCGACGGCACACACGCAGGACACTGCTGCCGCCACCGGGAGGTGCTGGGCCGGGGGCTCCGTGCCTTCAAAGGGGGGAACCGTCCGAGGGAGCCCTCCCCACGACGCACCCAAACTCTGCAGGTTCCCTGACCAGCAACGTGGGGACGCACCGCTGTCTCAGGCAACCGTCCGCCTCCCTCCCTCCACAGCAGGGACCCCGCAGTCCCCTCGCCACCAGCTGGTCACACTGCCCACGCTCCCCGGCCATGGACGCTGGGGGCAGGGCACCAGGCAGTCCCCCTGGAGCGGGGCACCCCCCGCCCCGCCTCCCCACACCGGCGCTGCTGAAAGAGTCGGCCCTTCTGAGGGGCTCCGGGGGCCATGCGTGCTCCTGAGGGGACGAGGGTGGCCGCTGGCCCTCCCAGACCGTGGGTCACCGACAGGGACCTGAGCCTGCAGTGCGGCCGCCTCGTCCCCCTGCAGCGCTGTGTTTAGGAAGATCCGTTCCAGCATGAGCCGGGGGGTGGGCACCCCCGCTGAAGCAGCCCCCACCTGCCGGTCTCGCACGCCCCGGCTACTCGGGCTCTCAGCGGCCATGTCCGAGGTGCCGGGACGCCGAGGTCACGCTGCGTGGCAGAGCACCGACACTCTTCACGTCACGGGAGACCCCGTCTAACCCCGGGGGTCCGGCCCCTTTCTCAACAGCGTCCCAGTGTTCCATCTCAGGACGCAGGGACCCCCAGAGCGGACGCTTCGCAGGAGACCCCCCGGACCCACCCCGGCCTCCACGGCTCTCCCCGGCACCTCCCCGGCACGCCGGGTCCTGCTGCCGTGCCTCCTCTGCCCCCACGCCCCGTGTGGCGGGCCCGGGGCAGGGCCGTCCTTACCATGGCCAGAGGGATGACGCCGATCAAGTCCTTCTGCCTGACGTAGATCTCGGAGACGCCCAGGTCGGAGGTGACGGCGCCCGGGTACTCCACCTGCCAGGTGACCAGCTGCGCGGCCGGCGGGTCGCCAGGCTCCTCGACCTCCACGTCGATCTGCATGACCTCCTCGGAGGCGCCGCCGTCGGCCCTGCGGGGGCAGAGGACCACAGCCCTGAGGGTCGGCGTGCGCTCCCCGGGGTGGCCACGCCGACCGGCTCCCGCATGAGCTCCCGTCAGCCCCGCCATGAGCTCATGGACACGCCGTCCCAAAGACAGGAGCCTCCAGCACCGAGACCTGCAGTATTGCCGGGCCTGCGACCCTGAGCTCACGCTCCCCAATGGCTGTGTCTGTAAGCTGCGCACTCTCTGGTGGGTGGCGGTAGAGGGCGACAGGAGGGCGCGCCAGGGGACAGGGTTCTCTGGGCCTCTGTCCCAGACACCCACACTCTGCCTGCGCCCGGGTGTCCAAAGGCACACCCCTGTGAGCCCAGGCCCCCATGGCGTCCTGAGGGTGGCAGAGGTCAGGGTGGCCCTGGTGCCGGGGGGTGAGCTGGGGTGCAGAGCTCGGGGTGAGGCGTGAACGGGGGAGCGGGGTGGCGAGTCCGGGCTGTGGGGCAGGGGGACGGGGCCAGCGAGACGACCGTGCGTCTGCAGACACTGTGCCCTCCCCTCCCCACACACCCCCGGCTACGCAGTGGCTACCAGTGCCACGCTGGTCGCCAGGGCACACCCACAGCCGCTGTGCTGGCATGACGGCCCAGCCCCCTCGCTGCCTGCCCCGGCCAGCCGCTCTCAGCGGTCATCTCTCGGGGACGTGACAGGGCCCACGGCCACAGGTGCAGGGCAGCTTCCCAAGGAGGACGGGAAGACCGTCTTTACCACCCAGCCCCTGCGAGTTTTCCATGAGGGGCTCCACGGGAAGGGGGCTTCCAGGGGCTGCGCCCCCCAGCGAGGATGACTCGGGGGCCGTGGAGACTGAGGGCTGGCAACTCGGCCGTGGGGGCGGGGGGGGAGGAGGAGGGTAGGGACAGAAATGAGACAACGGTGGCTGACGCCAGCCCTGCCTGCCCCGCTCTCGCTCCCACGGAGCCGGGTCATCCAGGTCCTGCCCCTTCCCTCTGGCTCAGCCGCCGACAGAAGGAACTTCTGTCCCCGCGGGCCCGGCGGGGCCGTGCTGGGGACCAGCCGCCACAGCCTCCGGGGGCTGCAGGCCGCGGCTGGAGAGGCGAACAGACCCCTTACCACGCACACCCCGGTAAGAGGGAGACCTCACGGGGTGGGGGGGAGGAAGGGGGCCGGGCAGCGGGGACCCGTGGCAGGGGCTCTGAAGAGGGAGGGAGAAGCCAGGGCCCGAGGGGCCGGTGCCTCCAGGAGCTCAGAAGACCAGAGGCCACGTCCCCGCTGCCTCCCCTGACGCGCACGTGGGCACTCACTACCGCGGAGGAGACGCGAGGGGAGCGGGTGCCGTGTCCCCCTCGGGTCACTTCTGCTCCCGCAGGAGGACAGGTGAGCCGCAGAGCTGGCCCCCGCCCGGCCTCAGAGGGGAGGCTCCCGGCCCCGGGGACCTCAGCCCTCGGTTGGGACTTCATGGTCTGCCTTGTTCTGCTGCCACGGCGAGAGCCTGGGACACGAGCCAGAGCCGCGGGCAGGCCCACACACGCACCCCTCCTCACGTCCACGCCGCAGCACCCACGGAGGGGCCGCCCCGCCCCCGACGGCCGGCCCCAGCCTTCCATCACCCCGAGCCCGGCGAGCATGCTGCGTCTGACTCCGCCTCCTCTCCATGGCTACATAAATCAGCGTTAATGCCGTGCCTTCAAAACCTGCCTTCTTCCAGATGGAAACAGATGTTTCGCGTTCTCTCTTTTTTTACTTATTTTTTTTTAATTTATTTTTCATTCGCCACTGACATGCCCCATTCCCGCAGGTCCCAGATGTTCTGCTGTCTCGGTGGTGTCTGTCTCCGCGTGGGGTTCCGGGAATGGGCCCCACGCTCTCCGACACTGAGCTCCACGCCGCCGGGCACCCAGCGTGGGGCGTGAACAACCACTTCCTCCCAGACTTCACGGAGGACGTTGGCCCACAGACGTGGGCCCTCGGGTCCGAGGGGCCGAGCGCAGCTGCTGCCTGGGAGACACAACCGTGCAGAGCGCAGGGCGCGCTGGGCAGTGTCCGTCCTGGTGACAAACAGACGCTCACCCCCGAGACCAGCGACAGAGGGACCCATGTGCAGGAGGCACGCATGCTCTGGAAGCTGAAGACATTGGATGCTAGCGCCCTGGCCAGCTGCAGGGCCTCCCCGCACGCCAGAGGCTGCAGGGCCAACCCCTGCTCGGGGCGCGCCCCGAGGGGGCGGGGTCGACCCTGGTCAGGCTGCGGGTGGCAGGCAACCAACCGATGCTTCCCTCTCACCCACGTCCCCCCTTCCTGTCTCTCCAAAATCAATAACATATTTTACAAAAGCAATTAAGGGGATGAACTGTGGGTGACGGCGGATGTCAAGGCGTGCTCCCAGCGTCCCCCAGGAGCTTCTGAGAAACGCACCTTCTCCGGACCCACGGGGCCAAAATCCGGGAGGGCGCTGCCGGTGCCTGCCACACCGCCCGGGGAGCTCACGGGGCAGTGTCCATGTGAATCAGCACTGCACGCAGCTTTGGCCGTGGGCGGCTGCCTGTCGGTGGCCCCCGACGCCCCGTTTCTCCCAGTGTTCACGCCACTCTGCACCCCCCCCCCCCACACACAGGGCTGGACCGGGGGCCTGGCCCTGGCTGACGGAGAAAGGTCCAAGCTTAACACAAAGTCTGGTGCAGACGCATTGCTCTGCTCGCTCAGTCACTTTGGATGCGGCGGCCACACAGGACACGGGCTCACTCGGCGGCATCTACCGCCCCCGCTGACCAGCGCAGTGAGGTCAGCCCTGGTCACACTCGTGCGTCCCAGTCCACTCCCCTCGGCCGCCAGGTCACACCCGTGTCGCACGAACCCGTCTCCTTAGATCAACATCGGAGGGCCGTTTCCAGACAGGCCTCGTACACGCGATGGAGTGTCACTCAGCCGCAGAACCTGAGGAAGCCCCGCCGTTGGTGACAACCGGTCCAGACCCTGAGGGCACCGCGCTCCGTGCGACGCGTCAGAGAAACACAAACACCGTGCAATCTCTCTCCTGCGCAGAATCTCAAGAAACCAAATAATGAACACACAAAGCAAATCAGAAACAGACTCACAGAAACAAAGGCCACAGGGGTGGTTACTAGAGGGAGGGGGTGGGGGCATGGTGGGGGCAGGGGGCGGGGCTGTGGTGGACAACACTGAGGTGGACACCTCCCCCGATGACAGACAGTTGCCGGCGGTAGCGGGGTGACTGCACTGTAAGGCAGAAACACGTCTAGTCGCTCCGTGGTGCGCCTGGAACCAATGACTTCCGTGGCGCAATGCCAGCTGCACCTCAAACGTTTCTGCGCAAGGCCAGCGTCTGAAAACCCGCCGGCCAGCGTCGGCCTCAGAGGAGAAAGCCGGGGGGCCTGCCTGCAGGAAGGGTCTCCCGCGGGTTTCACGCCAGCTCCGTCCCCCACCGAACCGCGGCTCCCACCAGCCCTTCGCCGGTCCCAGGAGCCTCCCCCGCCTGCGTCTCCGAGACCCCTTCCACGCGGCCCTCGGGCTGTCCCCCCACACGCCCCTGGGGGGACCTGTGTGGTTCTGTCTCTGAGGACTCCCCTCCCCCGCACGCGTGAGCGTGGGTGTGCACGAGAGCGTGTGTCTGCGTGTGCACCCGTGCGCGTGTGCAAGTGGGCGTCTGTGTGGTGGGCCCAAATGACAAAGCCTTCAACAATCCCCTTTCCTCTGGGACGCAAATGACCCGAGAGCTTGAAAGAAGGAGAAACTTGTTTTCTAAACGCTGGCGCAGCCCCGCCGCTGGGGCCTCCTCCCCACGCGTGTGATGGGGCCCGTGCGCCTGATGCGTGTCCTTCTTCGGGCTCACGGTCTGGTTCTCCACTTCGGCTTCCTGTTAGAACTTTCCAGAAGGCTTGGGAAGAACACACGTCCGTGGGTCCCCTGCAGAGACTCCGATCTACTTCGGACAGACCCTGGAGGTCGGGGGGTGGCAAGACGACCTTCAGGGGCTCTAACGGACCCCCTGGCTGAGAACCGCCGGTCTGTGATGAACCCGCGTGACAGCCGCTTGGACAAACGCCGAAGATGTGTGAGTTGTCGCGGCTTTTCTGTGTCAGTGACAAATTGAATTACATTCCGCGGAGTTGTAATGTTCGCTGTACTTCATGACGTTGACTCCTTTGAAAACTGGTTAAAAAATGCCACTTAATCTAAAAGCCGAGTGAACCGGGGGACGCCGTGCAGAGCACGCGGGGGCACTGCGCAAAGGCACGTGGCTGTCACCAAGGCCAGCGGGGGTCCCCACGCCCAAACGCCACGCACCGCTGACCCTGACAGACACACCTGGGCGGCATGCCACCACCACTCTGCCGGATGCTTCTTCCGGTCCCAGCGTTTTGTTTGCGAAACCCCTCCCATCAGATGGTCCAGGATCAGGACCCCTGCACTCTCGGGGACTCCTGTCTTGTGCAGGTGGGCCGGGCCAGGCCCTCAGTGACGCCCCCCGGAGCTGGCTCCGACTCCGCCCCTGCCCCTCCCCCACACCCTTCTTTGTAGCAGCGGGTGGTGAGCGCGGGCACTCACTGCCTTGAGGCCCGGAACTCTCCGCCCAGAGGACGCCCCTCCCAAGGGGCAGGCGTGCCGGGTGCCCTCTGCCCTGAGAGGCGCACGCCAGGGCCACCCAGCGCTCCCTCCCCCGGTGAGCGTGTTTGCCTGTTTGCCGGGCGGTTTTGTTTGCCGTGAAATACCAAGCCGGGTGCGAGAAAGGTCGCCAGGCTGAAGCATGTTTGAGGAACCGGCCTCGGGCGCACTGGGGACCGGCAAGCAGGATATTGACTTTCTCTGTGGTCAGACGGACTTTCCGCTGCTGTTTTCAAAAGCTCTACCACCTTCCCTGGCAGCTCTGTATCGCAGCCTGTCACAAAGCAACATGCCCTTCGAGGCAGCTTGCTAACAACCGACATCTATTGCTCGGGGCCTGGACCGCTAGTGTAAGGTCACTGTGTGGGCACACAGTAGGGGGGCCGCTGGGGGCTG